GGAACAAACTTCCAAGAGCTATCAGAACTTGTTGCACATTGCGTTTGTTTAAGCTTTCGATAAAAGATTATTTAACCGTTCAAAATGTGATAATAATGTTTCGAACAGCACAGTCCTTAGATAACGCTTTTGAGAATGGAGTTAATGGTGCCTGAAAATGCATGTGGTCAAGTGCACAAGTGGTTATATTTTGTTGGCCCGCAGCACTTTATTCCTTTTCTTTCTCGTGTGCGATCAACTCTCATGTGACTGCTAAAAACTTGTCAGACGATAGAACAAGAGGAATGTAAATATTTTGGACCGCTTCGCGCTACACAAATTTTCATTTTGTGCTCACATTTTTTAAAATTTATTATACCATGATATGAAACTGCTGTACCATTATTTGATCCGTCCCTTCTGGGAACGGCTTCTCGCATCGTCGAGCCATATACAATTTATTTATTTATCACAGTTTAATGAGTAATGTTGCTCTACGCAGCTGTGGCATGCACTCTACTAGAGATCTTCGTTGAGAAAATATTTACTTTAAGTAGTAAAATCAGAGGTCTTGAATTACACCAACCAATAAGTTAAAATTAGTGGATGGTGGATAGCTTCCAAGCTATGAATACAAATATGTAATTCCTCAAGTCGTTTCACTAAACAAATGCCGAACTTGTGCGGTTCAAAACATGTATACACCCCCGCTTTGAGTAAACTCTTATAATGTACCGTAACGACACAACAGAGTATTACAATATAACTGGAACGTGTTCTGTACACACTCGCCAGACAGGTTCTCAGTTCTACTGAAATGCGTACCAATCTAGAACATCGTAGAATGCCGGAATTCAACCTGATTTTGCGTATAAGGCTCAAAACTAGACACCAGTTTTCCGTGTGATATTCCGGCATACCAAATACCAAGCTATTCTTTCTTAATTACATTATATTACTCGCAATCAGATAGGATGCAGTGGATTTACGCTACCAATGTGTAAGTAAACCATCATGAGGCGTGCCATTTTATATTGAACAAATGTGCTACCATGTGAAACAGATATTCCCACATGACTGGAGTCGTCAGAAGTGTCCCTCACACTGATCTCAATGTAGAGGAAATAAATCGCGATTTCTGTGGCCATATAAATGACTTAGCTTGGCACTAACCATCTACACCAATGCAATTCTAACCAAAAACCTCACCACCCATAGATAACGTAACAGTTGACAAAGAATTAACGAGGATACAGTCATGCAAAGCGCCCTTTCCGGACGGACTATCTCCTATAGTCCGTAAGGAATGTGATAATGTCTCAGCACGGCCTTGTCCTAAACTGTACACCATACGCATACATCAACACAAGATAGCCGACTGTTGAAGAAGCGCCCGCATTAAATCTGTACCAAAAAAGGAACCTCTAAGTACCGGCCCATTGCTTGTACGTCTGTGAGTTTGAAGGCATTTGAACGAATCACACTCAAAAGAATGCTTGTCCAAATCCACTTGAGTGATCCAGTTCAGTTCGTCTATCGCAGTTCAAGTTCCAATTTGGATGCATTTGCCTGGTTTATACACTCAGTGCTTTCATCCCTCGATAGTAAAAACAAAACCCGCGAGCATCTGTTTCCAAGATTACAGCAACGCTTTTGGTTGTGTAAACCGCGAGCTGCTGCTACACGATCTGCTAGTTTCCCAAGTTCAACCTTAATTATTATCTTTTCTTACAGACTACTCCGCCAATCGTCGCAGTTTAGAAAGATTGGGAGGAAAAGCTCTTTCACACTCACCACAATTGTGGGTGTTCTTCAGGATTATTTTGTCTCCATTCCTATCTTCCACCTACATTAATTCTATTCCCGCTTCAAAGGAAGCCATCCTGATGGAGTATGCTGCTGACGTGATCCTTGGTGTAGACAATCACACAACAGATTCATTGGCCAATTTGCAATGCTTCTTGGACAACTTCACCTTCTGATCCAAATCTCGCCATCCTCCACCCATGCATCCAAGTGTAAAGATGTTTTGTTCTCGCTGTTTAAGGAAAACTGTTATCAGCTGCTCCTGACGCTCACCCAGCATAGTAGTATTGACAGTGCCAATCTAAACATCTGTACATTGGTGAAATATCTCGGAGTAACATTAAGTCGGGATCTCACATGGTCACATCACGTGAATGAGGCATTTACAGAAGTCAGGCAACTAACGTCCTACGTCTATCGACTTAGTAAATTATCCGTGCGTCGGTACTTTAGTTTACGGTTCCTCAACATTTGCGTAATCGCGCACTGGACCTATTGCTCACCTGTAATATTTCCTAGATTTTTAAACAGGCAATTCAAAATGGTCAACAGGTCGCTAAAGCATCTTGCTCGATGCAGCGGAATCTCCATGCCATTGGTTATTGACATCATTGTGTCTAATCATATTCGCGCTTGCGAAAAGCTGGCTTCCAAGATAATCACTGATGCCAGTCACCATTTCCATTGTGCGTTTTATGTATTTAAGCGTCTTAATCCGGACAAACGTAAAAAGCCATTGATGCCCGCACACGGGCTTACGGTAGGTCAGTTGTTCCTTATTTGTCACGTCTTTTGACAGATCATGATCTAATCAAACAAGACATTATTACCATACTAAAATGACGATATCGTCTTTGCCACCTTTTCAAATTAGTTGCACAACATATACAATCGTCCTAAATTTATTTAGTGCTATTTTCGCGCTAAGCGTGTTTGTCTTGGCTGAAGATTCACTCTTCATTAATACATACGGCGCATTATTTGTTTGACTTGGCTTTCGATTAAAAAGTTCCCACAGTAATCACATTAATTGATCCTGTCAGAACAAGTACCACGATCAGATGCCAATCGGCATGGTCCGGTTGGCATATACAGTGCATTCAATACTGATGAACACAAAGAGGATTGGAATAGATAAACGGCCAGCGTATTGGTACTTCTCCTTTCCATCTAGGACTTACGTATTTTTATCCAAACCGGTGGCTGTGCTAGCTCTCCTCTGGTGCAATTACAGTAACATTGGATGGTTGGAGACCAAATCCCTTGACTTCACCTAAAACATCTATCATGGCCCTTACAATTGGGTTTCTCTTACCTCATGCTTTAGTGCAAACAGCGGTTTAATAGAAGTTTGGAAAGCACAGCTTCCTCTTTGTAGGTCTATTGATTAGGAATAACTTTGTTTATAGTTATCAAAGGTTAATAACAGCAGTTCACACTTTTAAACATGATGCCATTACTGCATCTGCTCTGTACTTCGACAATGACCATCGTTTTGTTCCCTGTGGTGCGCTACTAAAAACCACGCCCATCAACGATTAGGCCTAAACGTCTTTGACGGGGATTTGTGTCTATTAGTGGAATTACCTTGCGAAAGTGTCACTAGATAAGGAAATATCTTTTCTCCAATAGTAACAAACTGTTGCAGCTGCTGTGAATACAAGCAGTATAAGATGAACGGCGCACAACTGCTAAACAGTGTCATACACCGTTTATAAACACTTTATTAATTAATCTATTCATTCATGACGGTGACCTCGATGACCTAGCTGAGCTAACGCAACATGAGCTTTTCTGTGCAGGTGTGTTTGTATACGAATTTTACGATATCCCTCAGACTCCGGGTTTCTGCAAGTATCCAGTTCATTTCCCAACAATGGTAGTCGGTGTTCCGGAGGTTCTTATTTAATCCTAATGGATACGAACTCATTGTTATTACAGTGAATATACTGATCCATTAAGACCTGTTCATTGCTACTTTTCTTTAACAGGCACTTGTAGCTGGCGCGTCGTTTACTGCTTCAACGATGTCGCACCCACTCGCAAGCGCAAGTGCTTCAATTAGAGTTTTCGCGACATTAGACAGTAGCTAACATTTACCCATGGGCTTTGCAGTGTCTGCTGGTGGACTTTCACAGTGACGGCATCAGGAAACTTCTGGCGTGGTTTATTTTCTTAAAGTAAAGACAACTGCGATTAACATAATCTGTAGTCGGAGAAGTGAACCCATTTGCATGCTGGTTTCATATTTTGGACCGAAAGTTGATCTGTGCTTTTTTTCTCTCTAAACACCGCATCTTTCATTGGGACACCCTAGAACTTGCACCCAGAGCATGGAAGTACGACAGTTCGTACTCGAAAAGTCTTTGTACGATTTACTGTCGCATACTATTTACTGAATGCTCATCCTACGCGGTCACCACACGTTATTAACACAATTATATTTTATCAGACCGAAATACCAAGCAGAATCGGCGTAAGTGTTAGAATATCATTGATTTGGAAGATTCTCGGTATGTCTCGTTGTCCCAAATTGATTCGTAGCTCTGTTCTAAGCCGTTTAGCGAATAAATGGACCAGTTGGATATGGGAATTGGACGACCAAACGTTTGCATTGAGGGTGAAACTCAGGCTTTCAGCATTTGGCGACACCTAATTTTATCGGCCTTTGTATCTTTCGACCTTGCAATTCCTGTACTAATTGTACAAGGGTACATTTTCTGAAGAGCCGTGTGCTACTTTGCTGTGTGCTCTTGCTGATGTGCTTTCAATTCCTTGTAGCTCATTCATACACACACTAGGTCCGGTTGCTTTTGTACTTTGGTATGCACAGCAATTTTTAATTGTTTTCCTCGCAGCCGGTACCCGAGTTCCACTCCACACATTTTCTAATTCCGGCTGAACATTGTTCCGTTTGCGATGCTAAAGCAGCTGTTCATTTTGCTACATTATTACTAGTTACAACTTATCAATGAAGTTTGGTAATCTCCACAATATCCGTAGAGACATTGGTTACCGCCTTGAAATGGGCCAAATCGCTGATGTCACGCGAACAGCCAATCGAGTCGCTTAGATTTATCAGATGGGTGACCTTGCCATTCCGGGACTGTGATTGGCACTCTGCTCTCTTTTAAGTCTACCGCGAATGGTGTGCACGGTTTAAGTGCCGGCCCAAGCGCTGTTCGCTTGTTGTGACATCCGTCGCTCGATAGGCAATGGCTGTTGTACCGCGACCTTACACTCCGCGGTCTGGAGATTCTGCCGACAGTGAGGACGGTACGGCAATAGTGGGTGCATCACGGATTATCTTGATGCCCGTGGATGGAAGCGAACATAGCGAGAGGGCATTTATGTGGTACTTGGATAATATTATGAAACCGGGGGATGGGTTATACTTAACTCATATCGTTGAACCATTGTCGCCTGGAATGAATTACTCACTTGCCAGCAAGTCACCAGCAATGAAAGAAGACTTCACTCGACATATAAATGAACTAGTGGACACCGGACGATCTTTGAAGAGTAAATTTCTATCTCGTTGCGAAAGTCAGCAGCTCCAAGCCAGATTTAGCATTCACGTGGGCACAAAGCCGGGTGAACATATTGTCCGATTGGCACAAGACCAAAATGCCCACATGATCATCATCGGAAACCGCGGAATAGGAAGTATGAAAAGAGCGTTACTTGGAAGTGTGAGCGATTATGTCCTGCACAACGCCAAGGTACCCGTGGTGGTCGTGCCACCGGTGAAAGTGTCCAAAAAGAAGTAATCTCGAATAAAGATACATAGCGTGTTAGTGGACTGTTCACTCAATTCTTTTACTGCCTCTCAGATCCAGTCGTTGGCCATCATTCTTGCCATACTTTGAAGTACTGGTGAGCACCGTCTCTACCATTTGTTTGTATCGGTTGAAATAATGATATTATTTTCCACATGTGGGGATGCTTATCACTGACTTAGTGGATATGCTGAATCTAAGTAGCGGTGTTCGGTATGAAAAGCGGACTTACGCGTTTATGTGCGCGCCAGCTTGATGGACCGGATGAGACGAAATGTAGGGCTCCGCTTACCGGTTTGGTAAAGTTGCATTCCCAGCGCTTTTTGCAACTTTGGCCTTCAGGGTCATCTTGTTGTTTCGTGGCTTAGGCCGTTGTGACCGGTGGAAAAAATGTTAAAAATTCTTATTTAACTTCCTTTCTTAATCCGCTGCTTTTGTGTTGAAGAGAATACACACCGCCGACCTAATTACCTGTTTGGAGGTTTCACTTCCCCCATCCAACAGGTCTTTGTGAAGTTTGTTTGATTCTCTGTTATCCGAATGGTTTCATAGATCATTATTCATTTTGGATCCGTGACCAGATCACTTGTGCCTCTCTAAAGAAATTCGATTCCCCTGAGTTAACTTGAGTAATCCGTCCCCACGTTCATTCATTCAATCGCTCTGCAGTAGTGCCTCGCCTAATGAGTGATGTAAGATATTCAAAGTTGTTACTTCTAAACAGTGTTGGACACGAGGGCTAATAGCTTACGTTGCCACCAGGGTCGACTTGGCTCTAAGGATAGAGGGCTAGGCAATGGAGCGTCTTCTGTCTTCACCAGGCCTTAAAGCAGCTTTGCACTTCGTGACGTCGTACGCCTAGATCACCGGCCATCTCTCAGTATCATTTGAGAACTTTCGTTTCTGTCTTTTTCCAGGTCAACTGTAGCACACATGCATGAGTTTCAAAAAGAACGCTTGGGTTGAATTTTAGCTGTCTGACGAGGTACTGGAGCAACGAGACATTTTTGCAGCGACCATGTAGGTTGACATAATTCAACGACCGTGGATTGTGTTTTGGATATCAAGTTGGTCCGAAATATCTTGTGCTTGTAACTAGATCACGGCTATTTTCGGTGGCATGGTCGCGGTGTATTTGGAGAAACACTGGACGGTCATTTTGCCATACAGAAACATTACGCCAGCACAGGTTTCTTTCTAATCCTGGACAATTCTAATCCCACGGTGTTTTACTCTGCAACTCATGCCACTGCGCCGGAAGTAACGATGGCGGTTTACACAATTAAACGATGCAGTTAAATAGTTGAATGCTCACTGTTGGACGCTGGACTGCTATTAATTTGTGCTGTGTGAGACTCACTCGAGGTAATTGCGGTACTACCCATGACACCCACACATTTGGATATGTCACTTCATCTGCGGAGTTCAACTTTGGCGGTGCTGAGGAAATAGGCGCCCCGCATGGCCGCATGTCAGTGTGCGCAAAATAATAATAATAATGTATTCTTGGGTTTATGGGCCATGTCCTTTACAGCATGATCAAATTTGACAATTGCCTCGTCTAATATTTACAGGAAGAAATAAAAATCATGTTTCTAACATCCATGCTTATCCAGTTAAAAGCATTGAATAAGAAAATTGGATAAGAAAAGATTATTCATGGTGTCCTGACAGAGCTCCTTGCGCGGACGGAACCAAGTTTTCTTTCCCTTGCGTAAAGCATGAGGAGCAGTTGCGTAGTGATAAGAGAAATATTAAATCTGTAGAACAAAAGACCATCTGGTGAGCAATTGCTTTCAATGATTCATCATCAGACCATTACAACCATATAGAGGCTAGAATGAGAAATCGACCCAGTTAGTTCAAAATGACTTGATCACGTGGTCTATGTTAGAGTGGAGAAAACGAATTAGGTCTTAGAGGGCTAGCTGTTTGCTACCGCGTCTGACCGAAGGCAGTCGACCTGGGCGTCTTCCGTCTTCGCTGGCCAGGGAAGCTGGAGAGCCTGGACCAGTTTCTTCTGTGAGCATAAGGACGGCTGGAACAATCGAATGCATATTGCTTCAGCTGTCGCAAGCGTACGAAGGCGGTGACCTTTCGTTCGGTGCGGTGGAATCTTGTAAACTATTCGAAAAGCGCGTTTCCAATCCACCTCATGGCCGGTGTCCACAATGTGGGCCAGAATGGCGCTACTAATGGTACCGGTGCCCCCTTGACGCAGCAAACGATGGCAATGTTCGTTCACGCGTTTGGATAATTGCCGCGCCGTTCGACCAATATACGTCGCGCCACAGGCGCACACGAATTGATAAATTACCATTGATGTGGTCAGCATCGGCAGCTTGTCCTTGTTTTGTGAACGAATGAGTGGTTCCGTTGAGAACACGCACTTCAAAGAGGCTGCTGGAAAGGTCGACTTTACCGCGGCCGAAAGGCTTCTGGTTAGACGCTCGGTAGCCGCGTCCCCTTTGAATGGTAAGCGAATAAATAACTATTTCTTGGGTGCTGTTAACATTGGCACTGGTTTGGGTTTTTCTTGGAGGTTCCTTAAGATAAATCTATCGGGATAACCGTTTTCACGTAGAGTGTTCTGTATGAACATTAACTCCGCGTCTAGGGTGTCCTCCGTACAGATTCGAGGTGCTCTTGACGTAAGACAGTGAACCAAGTTGCGCAACTTACACGTAGTCCACAGCATGTCGGAAAAGAACTAGATTTCCATTTTATCCTGTTAGGTCTCGTCTTTTGCGCAGATCCATCAGACCTTTAAGGATTCGAACCTATAACTACCAGCTGCTTGCACTGTCAGCCAGCAGCTTATGCCACTGATAGCGGTGGATCGTCCATGGTTTACAAGCAAACCGCAATATATCACGTCTTATCCTTCGCTGTCATGCAAGCTGTGGTTGTTATAGAGGACAGCGTTGCCATTGATAGACAAGCCTTCCTTGACAATAGTTACTTATGATATCGCAGTTATAAATTGTTGTGGAGAATCTCTTGGTATACTTAAGAGTCGTAGAACTTTTGTGTAAATTTTTTGGAACTTTTCCCAGTAGCTTCCGAAACCGATATTTCTCCACAAGCCCAGAAAAACAATGGGCGGTCTCGCTCGGTGTTTTTCTGGGTATGTGGAGGACTGTCTGATTTATAAACTACACATTGTTATTTAAAGAAAAGCCACATTAAAGCCCTACCCACTGTGATATGTTTTGTTGGCGTAGATTAGTGGCCTGGGTCCAAGGCTTTAGCTCTTTATCCTCCAACCCACCGCATTCCCTTGACCTCCCGGCTGACTACCTCTAAGTGGGGGTGAAGTAGAAACTTGTGCTGGAGTAATGTTTCTGTATGGCAAAATGACCGTCCAGTGTTTCTCCAAATACACCGCGACCATGCCACCGAAAATAGCCGTGATCTAGTTACAAGCAAATGATATTTCGGACCAACTTGATACCCAAAACACAATTCACGGTCGTTGAATTATGTCAACCTACATAGTCACTGTAAAAATGTCTCCGTGCTCCAGTACCTCGTCAGACAGCTAAAATCCAACCCAAGCGTTCTTTTTGAAATGCATGTGTGCTACAGTTGACCTGGAAAAAAGACAGAAACGTAAGTTCTCAAGTGATACTGAGAGATGGCCGGTGATCTAGGCGAAAGACGTCACGAAGTGCAAAGCTGCTTTAAGGCTTGGTGAAGATAGAAGACGCTCCATTGCCTAGCCCCATATCTTTAGAGCCAAGTCGACCTGGTGGCAACGTAAGCTATTAGCCCTCACATCGAACACCGTTTAGAAGTAACAACTTTGAATATGTTACATCCCTTATTAGGTGAGGCACTATTACAGAGCGATTGAATGAATGAACGTGGGGGCGGATTACTCAAGTTAACTCAGGGGAATCTAATTTCTGTAGAGAGGCACAAGTGATCTGGCCAGGGACCCAAAATTAATAATGATCTATGAAACCATTCGGATAACAGAAAATCAAACAAACTTCACAAAGACCTGTTGGATGGGGGAAGTGAAACCTCCAAACAGGTAATTAGGTCGGCGGTGTGTATTCTCTTCAAAACGAAAGCAGCGGATTGAGAAAGGGAACAAGAATTTTTAACATTGTTTCCAACGGTTACAACAACAAGATGACCCTGAAGGCCAAATTTGCAAAAAGCGATGGGGAATGCAACTTTACCAAACCGGTAAACGGAGCCCTACATTTCGTCTTATCTGGTCCATCAAGCTGGCGCGCAAATAAACGCGTCAGTCCGGTTATCATACCGAACACCGCTACTTAGATTCAGCATATCCACTAAGTCAGTGATAAGCATCCTCACATGTGGCAGATAATATCATTATTACAACCAATATAAACAAATGGTAGAGACAGTGCTCACCAGTACTTTGGAACATGGCAAGAATGATGGCCAACGACTGGATCTGAGAGGCAGTAAAAGAATTGACTGAACAGTCCACTAACACGCTATGCATCTTTATTCGAAATTACTTCTTTTTGGACACTTTCACCGGTGGCACGACCACCACGGGTACCTTGGCGTTGTGCAGGACATAATCGCTCACACTTCCAAGTAACGCTCTTTTCATACTTCCTATTCCGCGGTTTCCGATGATGATCATGTGGGCATTTTGGTCTTGTGCCAATCGGACAATATGTTCACCCGGCTTTGTGCCCACGTGAATGCTAAATCTGGCTTGGAGCTGTTGAGTTTCGCAACGAGACAGAAATTTACTCTTCAAAGATCGTCCGGTGTCGACTAGTTCATTTATATGTCGAGTGAAGTCTTCTTTCATTGCTGGTGACTTGCTGGCAAGTGAGTAATTCATTCCAGGCGACAATGGTTCAACGATATGAGTTAAGTATAGCCCATCCCCCGGTTTCATAATATTATCCAAGTACCACATAAATGCCCTCTCGCTATGTTCGCTTCCATCCACGGGCATCAAGATAATCCGTGATGCACCCACTATTGCCGCACCGTCCTCATTGTCCGCAGAATCTCCAGACCGCGGAGTGTAAGGTCGCGGTACAGCAGCCATTGTCCATCGAGCGACGGATGTCACAAAAGGCGAACAGCGCTTGGGCCGGCAATTAAACCGTGCACACCATTCACGGTAGACTTAAAAGAAAGCAGTGCACCAATCACACAGTCCCGGGATGGCAAGGTCACCTATCTGATGAATCTAAGTGACTCGATTGGCTGTTCGCGTGACTTCAGCGATTTGGCCCGTTACAAGGCGCTAACCAATATCTCTACGGATATTGTGGAGTTTGCCAAACTTCCATTAATAAGGTGTAACTAGTAAAAATGCAGCAAAATGAACGGCTGCTTGATCATCGCAAACGGAACAATGTTCAGCCGGAATTAGAAAATGTGTGGAGTGGAACTCGGGTATCGGCTGCGAGGAAAACAATTGAAAATCGCTGTGGATACCAAATATTTAAAGTACAAAAGCAACCGGACCTAGTGTGTGTAGGAATGAGCTACAAGGAATTGAAAGCACGTCAGCAAGTGCACACAGCAAAGTAGCACACGCTCTTCAGAAAATGGACCCTTGTACAATTAGTACAGGAATTGCAAGGTCGAAACACACAAAGGCCGATAAAATTAGGTGTCGCGAAATGCTGGAAGCATGAGTTTCACCCTCAATGCAAACGTTTGGTCGTCCAATTCCCATATCCTACTGGTCCGTTTATTCGCTAAACGGCTTGGAACAGAGCTACGAATCAATTTGGGACAACGAAACATACTGAGAATCTTCCAAATCAATGATATTCTAACACTTACGCCGACTCTGTTTGGTATTTCGGTCTGATAGAATATAATGGTGTTATTAACGTGCGGTGACCGTGTAGGATGAGCATTCAGTAAATAGTATGTTGAGACTAAATCGTACAAAGACTTTTCCAGTACGAACTGTCGTACTCCCATGCTTTGGGTGCAAGTTCTAGGGTATCCTAATGAAAGATGTGGTGTTTAGAGGGAAAAAAGTACAGATCAACTTTCGGTCCAAAATATGAAACCAGCATGCAAATGGGTTCACTTCTCCAACTACGAGTTATGTTAATCGCAGTTGTCTTTACTTTAAGAAAATAAACGCCAGAAGTTTCCTGATGCCATCACTGTAAAAGTCCACCAGCAGACACTGCAAAGGCCATGGGTAAATGTTAGCTACTGTCTAATGTCGCGAAAACTCTAATTGAAGCACTTGCGCTTGCGAGTGGGCGCGACATCGTTGGAGCAGTAAACGACGCGCCAGCTACAGGTGCCTGTTAAAGTAAAGTAGCGATGAACAGGTTTTAATGGACCAATTTATTCACTGTAATAACAATGAGTTCGTATCTATTAGGATTAAATAAGAACTTCCGGAACACCGACTACCTTTGATGGGAAATGAACTGGATACTTGTGAAAACCCGGAGTCTGAGGGATATCGTAAAATTCGTATACAAAGCACACCTGCACAGAAAAGCTCATGTTGCGTTAGCTCAGTTATGTCATCAAGGTCACCGTCATGAATGAATAGATTAATTAATAAAGTGTTTATCAACAGTGTACGACACTGTTTAGCAGTTGTGCGCCGTTCATATTATATTGATTGTATTCACAGCAGCTGCAACAGTTTGTTACTATTGGAGAAAAGATATTTCCTTATCTAGTGACACTTTCGCAAGGTAATTCCACTAATAGACACAAATCCCCGTCAAAGACGTTTAGGCCTAATCGTTGATGGGCGTGGTTTTTAATAGCGCACCACAGGGAACAAAAAGATGGTCATTGTCGAAGTACAGAGCAGATGCAGTAATCGCATCATGTTTAAAAGTGTGAACTGCTGTTATTAACCTTTGATAACTATAAACAAAGTTATTCCTAATCAATAGACTTACGAAGAGGAAGCTGTGCTTTCCAAACTTCTATTAAACCGCTGTTTGCACTAAAGCATGAGGTAAGAGAAACCCAATTGTAAGGGCCATGATAGATGTTTTAGGTGAAGTCAAGGGATTTGGTCTCCAACCATCCAATGTTACTGTAATTGCACCAGAGGAGAGCTAGCACAGCCATCGGTTTGGATAAAAATACATAAGTCCTAGATGGAAAGGAGAAGTACCAATACGCTGGCCGTTTATCGATTCCAATCTTCTTTGTGTTCATCAGTATTGAATGCACTGTATATGCCAACCGGACCATGCCGATGGGCATCTTACCGTGGTATTTGTTCTGACAGGATCAATTGGTTTGTTTACTGTGGGAACTTTATTTAATCGAAAGCCAAGTCAAACAAATAATGCGCCATACGCACTAATGAAGAGTGAATATTCGGCAAGGACACACACGCTTAGCGCAAAAATAACATTAAATAAAATTAGGACGATTGTATATGTTGTGCCACTAATTTGAAAAGGTGGCAACGACGATATCGTCATTTTAGTATGGTAATAATGCCTTGTTTGATTAGATCATGATTTGTCAAAAGTCGTGACAAATAAGGAACAACTGACCTACCGTAAGCCCGTGTGCGGGCATCAATGGCTTTGTACGTTTGTCCGGATTAAGACGCTTAAATACATAAAAAGCACAATGGAAACGGTGACTTGCATCAGTGATTATCTTGGAAGCCAGCTTTTCGCAAGCGCGAATATGATTAGACACAACGATGTCAATAACCCATGGCATGGAAATTCCGCTGCATCGAGCAAGATGCTTTAGCGACCTGTTGACCATTTTGAATTGCCTGTTTAAAAATCTAGGAAATATTACAGGTGAGCAATAGGTCTAGTGCGCGATTACGCAAGTGTTGAGGAACCGTAAACTAAAGTACCGAGGCACGGATAATTTACTAAGTCGATAGACGTAGGACGTTAGTTGCCTGACTTCTGTAAATGCCCCATTCACGTGATGTGACCATGTGAGATCCCGACTTAATATTACTCCGAGATATTTCACCAATGTACAGATGTTTGGATTGACACTGTCAATACTACTATGCGGGATGTGCGTCAGGAGCAGCTGATAACAGTTTTCCTTAAACAGCGAGAACAAAACATCTTTACACTTGGATGCATGGGTGGAGGATGACGAGATTTGGATCAGAAGGTGAAGTTGTCCAAGAAGCATTGCAAATTGGCCAATGAATCTGCTGTGTGATTGTCTACACCAAGGAACACGTCAGCAGCATACTCCGTCATGATGGCTTCCTTTGAAGCGGGAATAGAATTAATGTAGGTGGAAGATAGGAATGGAGACAAAATAATCCTGAAGAACACCCACATCTGTGGTGGATGAGAAAGAGCTTTTCCTCCCAATCTTGGTAAACCGTGTACGTTTAGTAAAGTAGTCTGTAAGAAAAGATACTACCGAAGGTTGGACTTGGTAAACTAGCAGATCGTGTAACAGCAGCTCGCGATTTACACAACCAAAAGCATTGCTGTAATCTTGGAAACAGATGCTCGTGAGTTTGTTTTTCCTCTCGAGTGATGAAAGCACTGAGTGATAAGCCAGCCAAATGCATCCAAAGTGAACCATGAACTGTGGTAGGCGAACTGAACTGGATCACTCGAGTGGGTTTGGACAAGCATTCTTGTGAGTATGATTCGTTCCAATATCTTCAAACTCACAGTCGTACAAGCAATGGGCCGGTACTTACGGTTCCTTTTTTGGCACAGGTGTAATGCAGGCGCTTCTTCAGCAGTCGGCTATCTTGTGTTGATGTATGCGCATGTTGTACAGTTCGGAACAAGGCTGTACTAAGATATTAGCACATTCGTTGCGGACTATAGGCGATAGTCCGTCCGTAGCGGATACTTTGCTCGATTTTATCCTCGTTAATTCTCAGTCAACTGTTACGTCATCTATGGGTGGTGAGCTTTTTGTTTAGAGTTGCAGCGGTGTTGATGGTAACTGCATTGCTAAGTCATTTATATAGCCACAGAAATTGCGATTTACTTTCTCCATATTGAGATCCGTGTGAGTAACACTTCTGACGACTCCAGTCATATGGGAATATCTGTTTCGCATGGTAGCACATTTGTTCACTATAAAATGGTACGCCTCACGATGGTTTACTTACACATTGGTAGCGTAAACCCACTGCATTCTATATGATTGCGAGTAATATATTGTAATTAAGAAAGAATAGCTTGGTATTTGGTATGCCGGAATATCACACGGAAAACTGGTGTCTAGTTTTGAGCCTATTACGCCAAATCAGGTCGAATTCGATCATTCTGCGATCTTCCAGATTGGTAGGTCTTTAAGCAGAACAGAGAATCTGTCTGACGAGTGTGTACGGAACACGTTCCAGTTTCATTGTAATATTCTGTTGTGCCGTTACGGTACATTATAAGAGTTTACTCAAAGCGGGGGGGTGTACATGTCTTGAACCGTACAAGTTCGGCATTTGTTAAGTGAAACGATTTGAGGAATTACATATTTGTATTCATAGTTTGGAAGGTATCCGCCTTCTACAACTTTTAACCTATTGGATGGTGTAATCCAAGTCCTCTGCTTTTACTACCTAAAGTAAATATTTTCTCGGCGAGGATCTCTAGAGTAGAGTGGATACCACAACTGCGTAGAGCATCATTACTCGTTACACTATGATGTTGCTCTCTTAGATAGCGCACGTGGTACACGCTATACACGAATAAATTTTCTGGTGTGCAGCATAGAACAAATGCTGCTGTCATCAACGGACATGTGTAAGGAACCGTAAATAACTATAATGTGGTTGCCATTATTATTATTATGCTTATTATCATTATTGACATTAATATCACATCTACTTTCTTACGTGATGGCACTCTGTTTCTACCTAATACCTACAAAGTTAGCATAACCGAAGCCAAGATAGTTTCGTCACTACTTGTGCACGATGCTTTATGTCATCTCAGCTTTTCAAAGGATTTTTAAACATGGTTTGGAGTGAAATATCGGAATGTCAAACCACACTGGGTACATAAGGACATCTACCAAACAGAACCCAATGGTTAACGACAAGATGGGCACCAAAGATTCATCCAACTTGGGTTTACAGAATTTCTTGCGAAAATTATGAAAAAGCTAAGGTGCGATAAACAACAAAATTT